GAGGGGGATGTAAGAACAAAGCAGATGGGAGAACAGTTAAACAGGTTTGCATGGGCTAAGTGGGACAGAGGTAAATAATGATGTATGCACAACCTTGGAACAACAGGGCTCAGTGGTACAGGGATTGAGGTATGGTTTGACTGGGTAAAAGGGGGGAAATAATGTTAAGATGCTTGGTTGTCTTTTGAATCTTGATTTCCCTGGCATACAATTATAAAATAGACACTTGAGGAGGAAAGAAAGGAATGGCCAAAAATATCATCATAGAAAGCTTGTAAATCTGTCTTTTGCCTATAACTGATTGGAAGACCTAAAATGGGGCTACAACATGCCCAGTGAAGGAGACTTCCTGTGGCGCCTCTGCATTACATAGGTGGAAGCCTGAACCCCATCCAGAATCTTCTGAGGTGGGAAATCTCCACTTGAAAAGACAAGCAGAGCAGCCTGGAGTGGCTGGAAGAACAGAAAACAGAAAAATAAGAAACAATAACAGCAGTTTGACTGACTACTACAAGAACAGGCAAATTGTTCACCCAGGAGACATCACAGCATGTGGTCGGGTCCTCTCAGGGCAACCTCCCTTCCAAGTCTAGGACTCAAAGTGGATACATGAGCAGACATGCACTCTGACTGCTGCCCACATTGGTCACAGGTAAGTGAGGCAAAAACATCAATGAAGCTGCGAGCTAAGCCCTACCACGTTCAATAGACTCCTGTGAACCTGGTTAGAAAACTAGTTGGCCAGCAGTATAGCAAAACCTGGGGACTCCTGGGCCCAGAGTCAGTGACATAGCTACAGAGGACTAGAGCGGAGAGTGAAGCATTCAGCTGATTAGAAGAGAGGGCATATGCATAAGAACACCCACACCTGCAGATAATACCCACTTGACCTGGCTTCAATGGCTGCATGATCAGAACTCAACTGGAAGAAGAAAGAAGAGGAAAAAAAGAGTAATATGATACAGTTAGATGAACTTGACCTACACCTATGGATGCAGTAGCTTGAAAGAGGGAATCAATCTTTACAGTGAGGATCAGTCCCACCTCCTCGATACACAGGGTAGACAGGGATGGGCAACTTGGACATTGGCTACCCAAGATGCGGCAGGGGGACTACAAAGGCAAGAAAGGACTGGCTTACAAGATTTCAAGAGGGAGCCCAGATCCAAAGGGTGCAGAGGAAGGTAGAATCTCCACTGAGTAGTATCCAGTCTGTCTGGCCCGAGCTGATGAAAGAGATGGGGATAGGACTCTTGTGGTACAATAGTGAATAATTATTATCAGGACTGCTTGTGAGGGTTGGAAATGTAAAGGTAGAGGTTTTGTAGCAAAAGGAGGGGAGTGGTTGATTTCTCAGTCTAGGAGCGGAGGTCCCTAGGAGCATCAAGGTAGAAGAGCAGAGTGCCGGACCCTACCCAGAGAAACAGTGACACCAGAGATAGAGGCAGAGACAATGATGTGGAGAGATGGAGCGGCTGGGGACTCTAGACCCAGAGAGGGAGAGGGGCTGTGTACTGACGACTGAGGGACAGGCTTGTGGAGTGTACCCTTTGGTTGGTTGATGATGCATGGAGGGGATTGTAACCATGACAATGAAACATATATGATAGGATGAATGTAAAGCTAATGTTCTCTCATGTAAACTATCATATAATTCATATTAAATTTTTTTTTTTTTAAAAAGGATGCTGTTTGTGTTGCCTAGTCCTGTGTTCAGAACTTTGTTTTCTTTCTGAGATGAAGAAAATATAAAGGCACTTAAAGGTTAAGGAAAACGTTCTTATGATGAAGTCCCAAGCCCATCAGATACACTCGACTGCCCCAGCCAACCATCCCATGGCACCAAGGCTGGCTCTCCAAAACACACCTCACTGCCTCATCTTCATTCTATTCAACAGAGTTTCTGCTTATTGATTTTTCTGACATCCAGTTGTGTAATCCATTTGTGAGGGATACTAGGTTGTAATTTCCTTTCACCCCGAGCTTTGCCAGAGCGGAGCTCAGCCTCGTGTGTTGTCGAATTAGTATCAGTCTTTCAAGTAGTTTGTACTGGGAACCACAAGGTCAGTCAGGGGTGCCTTCCACTCAACAGCACTTAACAACAACATTTGAAGGAATATTTCTGTAGCCCATACGTCCAGAATGACTCTCCTCTGCCGTTTTCTCTTACAGTCCTGGTTTTCACTGAGATCACAGATGGTGAAGGCTCCAAGTTACAACCCTGCTCTGTAGCAGTCACTGTTCTTCCTTGTTACCATGGAAATGCAGCCTCTGCAAATGACTGCCTGGAAGAGGATCTGTAAGTGATGCTGTGCTACATCTCGGAGCAGGGTTTGATTTCCATCAGACAGAATTCTCCCCCACGTTAGCCACAAGGTGGAGTGGACTCAGCTCAGAATGAGCAAAAGAAGTAGATATGTCTCTACCACTCTACTACTGCTGACTGGTGTTTCCTTCATTTTTGTGTATGTGCTTCAGAATCTAAAAGCGCTTTTACCATCTTGTTTTACAGCTTTATTGAGCTACCATATACATACCATGGAGTTTACCCTTTCAAAGGAGTTTTAGTATATTGACAGAGTTATGTAGTCATCACCATTGTCTAATTGTAGAACATGCCTATCATCTCTGAAACTCTTGTATTCTTAACAGGTGCTTCCGAGCCACACTCCTCAAAGGCATTTTTATAATTGGACTCAAATTATGCTGATTCTGATTTACTCTGCAGTAATCTTTTGTGGTTGTTCAGATGAGTGTCTGTTATGTTGGTAAACTGAAGCTTTGTAGTTTAGTTAATGATGATGGTGAGATCGCACAGCAAAGAAATTGCAGAGTAAAGGCTGGTCTCATGAACATGTCTTCCACTGTGTCATAAATACTTTCATGTCCAAATAAGTGAAAAATGTGGTTTGTAAAAACAAATTAGTAACCCTATCCAGAGAAGCAGCGACACCAGAGATGGAGATAGAGATGAAGGCATGGAGAAATAGAGCAGCTGAGGACTCTAGACTCATAGATAGAGAAAAGTTGAGTGCTGGCGGCCAGGTGCTGGTAGGCAGGAGGCAGGCTCACAGAATGTGCCCTCAGGTTGTTTAAACGACTATATATTCCTAAGTGTTTTTGTGTACATTCACCCCCACTCCCACCCCACCCCCCAAAAAAAAACAGAGGAATGGAAGCAAATTCTATTGAATGATGATGCATGGAGGAGATTGTAATTGCAATGAACTGATGAGTGTAAAACTAATGTTCCCCCATGTAAACTATCACTCAATTCACAATAAAAACTTAAAATAAATATATAATCAATCAATAAATGAATGGCCAGTGATTGAAATTGCAGTCTTAGAAATGTGAGTTTGTATCCAGTCACAAGTACAATGTGGTGCCCATGATCTTGTTGGTTTAGGCGCTAACTACCAACTTGACTTACTCGGATGCTGTAGCTGTGATTGTATCTTTGTCTGATTCTGGATTATGCTTCCTCATTTGCCATGATCCTTCCGTATCATTTTCATCTTTGTCTTCTTCTGTTTGAGTACTGCTAAAAGGGGTTTGATAGATTTTTGTAAGTATAGGCAGGAAAATGAATGTTTTCTTGGTCTGCTTTGAGAGCTTCCCCCTTCCATCCCATTGCTCAGGATGTCTTTGATCTGTTTCTTTCATTGCTCCAACAATTACCTTCTTTTTCCCTAAATCCCATCCAACTGCAGCAGCTGTTGATTTACCAGTTATTTGTTTTTAACCACCCCATGATGATTTAGTATAGATGGTGCATATGAGCAAAGACTGTTTATTTTCTGAGGTGGTAACTACAGTTGTCGAACGATTCATAAATTGACCTGAGGAGTGATAACTCTTGTGTTTCCTCCAGGTATAATTCCAGCCTGAGAAACCTATCCACTCTCCTGCTGATGGGGAGCTACACAGAAACCAGGAACTACATCACTATGATCACCAGGATCCTGAGCTATTTGGCTAAGGAGGACAGAGGCCCTTCCTGTGGCCAGTGGTCACGAGTACAGGATGCATTAATTTCTTCAGTATGCAAATTAGACTTTGCAGATCAGGTAGGGTCTAAGATAGTGTGATTTAATGCCTGTGGACCTGTCTAAGTGTAAGAGGGCCCTGCAACTGCTTGGCTCACTCTCAAGTGGTCATGCTGATAAATGCAATCAAGAAATGAGACCAGTGACCCAGGCAGTTTGACTTTAATAAATGGCTATTGCCTCTCTACCCTGCTTCTGGGTCTCACAGATTCATGCTGATGCTTTCTAACAGATTGTTCACAGTTTCCAAGGAGCATAGGGTCCATAGTCCAGTGCTTATCCTATGGTGCCACACCAGGAGTCCTATAACAGAGACTTGTTGTTATTAAGTGCCATCGAGTCGGTTCTGACCCATATTGACCCTTTATATGCCTTGAACCACTGACTTTGTGGTTCAAACGGACTTTGCAGTCCAGTGCATGAACCCACAGCACCACACCAGGACTCCATAACAGACATAGACTCATAGAATTTAGCCGTCACTACTGATAACTCTATTAAGACTCTTCTGGTAGTGTAGTTAGTGGTTGTGAATCAGGCTGTGAACCTTAAGGTCAGCAGTTTGAAACTACCAGCTGTTCTGCGGGAGAAAGATGAGGCTTTCTGCTCCTGTAAAGATTTACAGCCTCAGAAACCCTGTACAGGGTCGCTATGGGTCGGAATTGACTCCACAGCACGTCACAATAACAACAACAAGTAAATGTTATGAAGAGTTAAGTTCGGGATTCTGTGAAATCTTTTAATGCCCATGTCTTTAAATGATGTTGCTTCTCACAGCCTTTCTGAAACTCTTTTCTTTTACTTGCCTTTTCTCTTTTGTTTTTTTGTGAGTGTGAAACTATAGTCACATTCACAATAAACATGTTAGATTACTGTTTCCTTTTCCCTTCTCCATTGTTGTTGTTGTTAAGTGCCGTCGAGTCAGTTCCGACCCATAGCGACCCTGTACAGGGTTTCCGAGGCTGTAACTCCTTACGGGAGTAGAAAGCCTCATCTTTCTCCCGCGGAACGGCTGGTAGTTTCGAACCGCTGACCTTAAGGTTCGCAGCCCGATTCGTAACCACTATGCTACCAGAGCTCCCTTCTCCATAGTCTTTTTAAAACTTTACTTAGCTCTGTCCTTCATTTCCTCTTTCCTCAAGTCAGTTGCTTGATAGAGTGTGGTGAGGCTGGCCAGGACAGAACATAAGAGAACAGCTGGAGTGGTAGGAAAAATTGAAGTCAAGATATTGGTCTCCCTAAAGAATGTCTGTGGGGACCTGGTTTGGCTCTGTAGGATAAGCACTTGACCAAAAGATTGGTTTAAACTTCAAGGTTGACAGTTCAAATTCACTAGTCGTTCCTCAGAAACCCTATGCCGGGTCACTATGAGTCGGTACCGACTTGACAGCACTTAACAATGAAGAATGGACCCCTGTTGACATAGTGGGCTGCTAAAGGAGCTCTGGTAGCGTAGTGGTTATGAATCGGGCTGCGAGCTTCAAGGTCAGCAGTTCGAAACTACCAGGTGCTCCACTGGAGAAAGATGAGGCTTTCTGCTCCAATAAAGATTTACAGCCTCGGAAACCCTGTATAGGGTAACTGAGTTGGAACCGACTCCACGGCACATAACAACAACAACTGCAGGGTCAGACATTCAAATCTACCCATTGCTCCAGGAGAAAGATGAGACTTTCTCCTCCTGCATAGATTTATAGCCCCAGAAACCCTGTCCGGAGTCGCTATGAGTCAGAACTGATCTAATGACACATAACAGTAGTAACAACAAAGAATATGTTGTCTCCAGTCTCTCAGATGGAAACATGGCATCTCCTTTATTTCTATATAAGTAAGCTGTCAATTATCTGTATTTAAAGTCGTTAAGCTAACTTGGATTTTCTTTCTTTCTTTTTTCTTTAATTGTTTCCCCGGATCAGGAAGAAATCATTAATTCTGTCCGTATGCTAAGTGACCTCATAAGCTTCCCTAATAAGGTGAGATCTATTTATTTCCAAATGTATATTTCTACTTTTTTGCATAGTTATGAAGTCATAATCAGTTTTTAAAGAGTATATTCTTCAGAGTTATATTTAGATTAGAAATAAGACTTTTCTCCTAAGAATTCATCTGAATCGTATTGCCCATCTCAAATCATTGATGAAGAACTTCTTTTCTAATATATGAAATTGAAAGCTCAAAGTAGGTATGCATTAAAACAGGCTATAAATAATTCCTAACGGGATTGTTGTTTGTTATTAGCACACAGTATTTCATTTTCCCATGCCTTTGCCTTCTTCTCGTCTTTAATCTCCAGCACCTTTCAGCTTCTGCGTTCACTGCATTGCTCTTCGAGTCATGAGCAAAGAGCTTTCATCTACCACGACTCTTCTAAGTTCATACTCTCTCAGGGATGGAGTCTCCCTGCTCCCAGCAAGAACCCATCCCTCTAGCTGTGCTCAGCATTGCATGCAGACCACTTGATTCAGTCTGTGTGATCAGTGCCCAGGCCGTGTGCTGGGTATCGGTGGGGTTCTGCCTCCTGCTCCATTTGGCCTCCTCCACGATTTCTTTCCTTTATTTTAACACTCTGTATGCTGTTTCTTCCTTTGTCCCTCTCTGCTCAATGATTTCCAACATATTTTTAAAAAATCCCTCCCTAAAACTATACCCTATCCCAGATGCCACCTTGTTCCTACACGACTTTACAGGAAACCGTGTCAAAGTGGTTCTCTGCACTTGCATGGTCTGTGCTTGCTCTTTGTCATGCATTTTCAAATATCAAAGTCTGGTTTCTGTCTCCATCATGACACAGAAACTGCTCCTGTAAATCTTTCCGGAATCAAACTGCCTCATCTTTCTACCGTCTTTCTTCCACAGTTTTGAACTGCCAACCTTTCAGTTAACAGCCCAGTGATTAATTAACCATGCCACCAGGGCTCGATAATAGAGCAGAACTTTAATCCCCATTCACAGGTCATTTTCCACATGGTGTTTCAGGGTCTCAGCTTCTTTCAGAGCCCTGGGCTCCTTTCATTTCACGTCCCCACTCCATAGCTTCCTAAATTGGAGAAATAGTGCATGGAGAAAGTATCCTCAGTGTTGATAAACTTGCCCTCTGGTGACATACACACTCTATTCACTCACCCCGCATACTTAAAAATGGTCTCATGGCCACACATGACCTCAGAAAGAACCGGAACAAGGAATTGCTTCCCAGCAGTGATCCTAGACAAGGACTGGGGAGCATGATTCTGGTGGCTAGGTAAAATTGAACATGATTGCCATTTCCAAAGTCATCACTGCTGATACGATTGGTGAAGAAATAATGGCCGGTGTGCAAGGTAAGTGCCTGTTTTATTTTGGATAAAAGATCATTCTTTCCATTTTTGATCCTGTTTTGGTAAGTTGCCTCATCTTGTTGTTAGTGTTAAGTTCTGTTGAGTCAGCTCTGACTCAAGGAGCAGCTGGTGGGTTTGAACTGCTAACCTTGTCATTAGCGGTCTAGCGCTTATCCAACAGTGCCACACCAGGACTCCATACCTTATCCATGGGCCTTTATTAGTAGTTTTATTTTATTCCCCAGTAGTGTAACTATATATTTGAAGATACCTCTACGATACATTTTGGTCCAATATTCATGAACATCAGAAAATAGGATCTTAATTTCATTTGTATATCATTTGATTAGTCCTTGGGCATTGCAAATGGTAAAGTGCTAGACTACTAACGGAAAGGTTGATGACACAAACCCATCTCGATTTGCCTCAGAATACAGACCTGGAGATCTGATTCTGAAAGGTCACAACCTTGAAAACTCCACGGAGCACATTTCTACTCTGACGTACATGACATCCCCATGAGTCAGACGCAACTAACAAAGCCATGAAGTCCTAGTGTGGCCCTGTGGGTTAATGGTGCCGGACTGCAAATTCAGTTTGAACTGCAAGGTTGGCAGTTCAGATTTACCAGCAGCTCCTCGGAAACCCTATACAGGGTTTCCCACTAGGAGTCAGCACTGACTCGGCAGCACTTATCAGCAACAACAACAAGGCGTCCTGGTGTGGCACTGTAGGATAAGTGCCAGCCACTCTTTAGAAACACTAAACAGGGTTGCTGTGAGTCCGAACTAACCCAACAGCACTTAATAACAGCAACTGACCACAAGGTTAGCAGTTCAAAGCCACCAGCGGCTCCTTGGAAACCCAAACAGGGTTGCTATGAGTTAGAACTGACTACATGACACAAACAACAATGACAGGCGCTACTCAGAGACCCTAGGTGGTGCAGTTAATGCATCCAACTACTAACTGAAAGGTTGACAGTTCCGATCCACCCAGAGGAGAAAGACCTGACAATCTGCTGCTGAAAGGTCAAGCCATGAAACCCCAAGGAGTCCAGCTGTATATGGGCACACAGGGAATTGCCTAGAGTCCGAACTGATTAGTGCACTAAACTACAGAGAAGAACAAGATTTAGTTCCTGTCTTTAAGGAACTGATGAATAAAGTTAAGTTGTTGTTGTTCAGTGCCGTCGAGTCGAAACCGACCCATAGCGACCCTGTATAGGGTTCCCAAGGAGCCGCTGATGAGCTTGAACCACCGACCTTGCAGTTCAAATGACTTTTTGTAGTCTGATGCATTAGCCCACATATACTTAAATAAATGTGCTAAGTCCTGTAATTAGGAGAATGACAAAATTTTGAAGAAAGGTAAGCAATGGTGCAGTTACTTTGTTTTGTGGATTCCTGATGTTGGTTTTAAAGGAGAAGTAGGAATGAAGCATTGTCAGTTTGTTGGGTATGATAATGGCATTGTGGGTATAATTTTAGATAATAGCCTCCATCTGCTAATGATAAGAACTAAAGTATTCATGGATTTTTAAAAAATTGTGTGAACTTGCTGTAGAATGTGAATTTTTAAATTTTAAGTGGATGAGAGAAGAAAAAATATTGCCAATGAAGGGCAATTGTTAATATTGGATGATGGATAGTTTGACTATACTACTTTCTCTACTTTTGTATATGTTTGAAAATGCTCTGTGTTGGATTTTAAAAGAAAGAGATAAATGCTAGACAAAGACAGGATAAAGGAACATATATGGCACCATACATTGTGGTTGTTAAGTTTCATCAAGTCAATTCTGACTCATAGTGACCCTTAGAGGGTTTTAGAGGAGTGGCTGGTGAGTTTGAACTGCCAAACACACAGTTAGCAGTCCAGTACTTAATTACAATGCCACAGCAGGCCCCAGCGTTCTATGAGAACAGTCAGAGAGTTTCAGTGTGGTCCGAGAGTACGATGTATATGGTGGTGGTGGTTATGTGCTGTGCAGTCACTTCCAACTCATAGCGACCCTGCATAGGGTTTCCGACGTTGTCAATCTTTACAGACAGGTTGTTTTAAACTGCTGACCTTGAGGTGAGCAGTCTGATTCGTAACCACTATGCTCACTATGCTACCAGTGGGAAAAGAGAAGGCTGTAAAAATAGTTTGGGGTCAATTTGTGAAATTGTTGTAGTTCAAGCCAAAAAACATTTTAATGCATAAAGATCCTGCTAGATATTATTTAATTTGATCATTTATACATCAGCAACTTGAATATCAGAGAGCAAATTGTTCCATATGAAGTTGACCTATAATAATTTGCCAGCTAGAAACCAAACCTGAACTTGAATCCAGTTCTCTTAAACACTAGTTTGGTAATGTTAAAAAACAAAGAGAACCTATTTTCTTTTTAGTTCCCCAAAATAAAAGGTACAAGTACAAGTATCATGTTTGATGAAATGGTTTACTTACTCTTTTTCATGTAGTTAACCTTCATGAGCGCAACTCTTATCCTTAAATACACTCGGCTGCTTCTTACTGAAAGCCAGTTGTCTGGGAGGTTTGTGATTGACAGACAACTGCTGTTGGAACTCATTTCCCTTGTATCAGCAGTCTTGGAAGTTTCTGACCCAGAAAAATCAAGGAATGTGTACTATCTACAAGAAGAAGGAATTAAAGTAATCTCAGACTTTTTATTAGTAAGTCAGACTTTGTCTTTATCTATAAAAGATACCTGTTTCGCTCTTTGAGAAAGTTACTTGTATTTGTAATCACTTTTTAAAAGTAAAAATAAAATGAGTTCCTAAAGTATGTTGCTGCATATTCTGGGTGATCATATTTAGAAATTGTCATTTTGAAAACTTTCCAAATGAGTTCCACCTTTTGTTTCCAGTGGATTTTAATATTTTAGATTTGGCATAGCATTCGACTTAGAAACATTATTTCTCAGGACATCTTTTGTGTTTGAGGGGTGATACAAAGGAATGCAAATGAGTTTTCATCTGCACTGATTTAAAAATGATCCTCTGATATGTGGTTGTTATGTGCCATGAGTCTGTTTTGACTCATAGCTGCCCTGTATAGGATTTTCAAGAAATTGCTGGTGAGTTTGAACTTCCCCCCATGCATTTAGCAGTCTAGTGCTTATCCTACAGTGTCACACCAGGACTCGGAGCCTCTGATATATAGCTGCTAAAACAAAGTACAAAAGTTTGTTTCATCTATTTCTGCTGCAGTAGGTATGGGACGTATTGGAATCCTGGTGTGATGCTGCAAGATAATCCACTGGACCACAAGGTTGGTGGTTCAGACCCACCAGCCGCTCCTCAAAAACCCTATACAGGATGCCTGTGAGTTAGAATCAGCTTTTAGGCTGATTAAGGACTATGGGAAATGATCTGTATGATTTCTTTTTTCACCTCATGCAATAGTTTAAACTTGCAAGAAGCAGAATATTAGTAGACAGTACTTTTGTTACTCCTCTCCTACCCATTTGTCATTGCTCCACAGTTTGACCTGTTGGCTCATTTAATGGATAGTGTACTATTTGAGAAATTAAAAAATCAATTGAGATCATATCTGAAGCTGATCATAATAATCTCCATGATCAATTAATGCATTTAAAACTATTTATTGCATACTGTGTCATTTATTATAAACTGTGCTCATGTCTGCTATTGAGACACCCATGTTTTAAAAGTAATCATGGTAGTAACACTCTCCTTTGATTGGTCTGAAGACGCCCCAAAGAAGCATCGTAGTTATTGTAAAATACAAAAAGTGGCACCACCACAACAAAAATATGTGTATTTGACTATTATTTGCCATTCGACCTTTGAATCATAACCTTTGCTCAGGTTAATGAATCCAAACTAACATGAGACCTATTACCTTTTCAACTGGAGTTCTGGTGTGGTGCTGTGGGTTAATGCACAAGACTGCAAAGCCATTTGAACTGCAAGCTCACCAACCGCTTCTTGGAAACCCTATGCAGGGTCACCATGGGTTACAGTTGACTCAATGGCACCTAACAATAGCAACAACCTTTTCAATTATTTTCCATCCCTCTAGTTCTAGATTCAAGAAAGTTGACCCATTTGTCTTACAAACACTTGAATCTGCCATACTCTTTATTTCAGAATTCTCTCTCTGTGAACAGTGAGCGTCAGCTCCACATTGGAACTCGAGAGATGGAATTGCAGGCCTATCTTCATTACAGTAGTAAGAATACCGTCCAGAGTATTGGCACTGCCCAAGTCTACTTACCTGGCAACCAAGCTGGGCAGAACCCATGCTATATCAGTCAACTCATTTTCTTCAAAAAGACTCCATATCCAGGGGGACGAGCTCATGGTCAGGTACAGTGTGGCATGTGGCCTTTGTTTGAACTTTTTATTTTGAACTGCATAAAGATTTATAGACAAAATCATCAGTCTTACATTCAACAAGTCATACACTTTGTTTCAATAATTACATTCCCTTCCAGATAAAACCGTCGGCGTGCTTTCTCCCTGTAGTTCCTGTTTGCATTCTCCCCACCTTCCTATCCCTTCTCAACTTTGTCCTTAGGAAAATGTTGCTGTTTTGATTTTGAATGGTGAGCAGACCTTATAAGAGCCCCCCTACCCCCATGCCTCTATAAACCTATCTACAGCTTAGCTGAAAATCAGACTAGGAGGATGGGTTCCTTTCCGGACCTGAAAGGTGGTTGAGGGTTTCTGACAAGTAAACCCATTTTAAAAAAATTATTAAATAATGTTGAATTTTCCACATTTTCTCCCACTCTACTCGGAACCCACTAATGTGATCCCTATCAGGGCTATGGAGTGTGAGAGCTGGGCACCATCTAGTTCTTCTGGTCTTGGAGTTATGGACACTGGTATTCATATGTTCCATTGGTCCATTGGACTAATTGATTCCAGGCTTCTTCAATTCTTATCACTCTTCTTTCTTCTGTACATGTAACTTAGATGGCTGCTCATGAGCTTTCAACTTCCCAGACACTGCTCACTTCAGCAGCATATAGAGCGTTGTCTTTGTGAACTGTGTTATGCCAACTGGCCATGGTGTCCCTGAGACTATGGTCCTGAACCCCCAGACCCAGCAACTCATTGCCTTAGGATGTTTGATAGTATTGAGGAAGTTTTCATCATTTTGCCCACTTTATATTCCACCACGTTTATAATTATGTTTGCAGGAAAGGTAAATACTCATATACAAATGCCCTCTTTCAAAATCTTATATATTTATGGGACATACAAATATATATATCCCACTCTTCCTCCATACCCATTCAGCCTATGTCTCAATCCCAATCTATGAACAGAACACTGTTGTTCCAAGGTTGTGTATGTATCACTGTTTACCTCTATCTGTTTTAGACCGTGAATACCTCTCATGTCTTCACCTAGCTTCATTATTCTTTTGTTACCATACCTCTTCTTTTATTTTTTTTTTAAAATGTTTTATTGTGAATTATGTTCTAGTTTGTATGGGAGAACATTAGCTTTATATTCATCCTATCGTATATCATTTCATCGCCATGGTTACAATCCCCTCCATGCATCATCAACCAACCAAAGGGTATACACTTCAAGCCTG